ATATAATTATTGTGTCAAAAATAAAAATTAAAAAAATAAGTTTGATCAGACAATTTATGGTAAACAAGGAACTTCTCTGAATTAGACCTGAAAGCATAATTAAGTATTTTTTTAATAGAAACAAATTTATCAACTTTCCCACTCAACTTTAGATTATTTAATAGAAACCAGGAACAGTGAGTAAAGGGCTTACAGGTTATGGTTTCAACTTTTCAAACATAATTGTGGACCCACAATTCTACGTGGCTCAAAGAAATATCCTATGTGCTGAATGGGGAGATGGATAGAATTAATAAAGCAAAATTCTTATCAACTGTTCAAGAATTAGAGCATATAAATGTGGTATATAACCACATAAATGTGGCTTATATAGCGGAAGCTGGTCATGACTCCTCCCTTGCTCTCCCTTTTGCTTTGCACATGGGTTTGGTTTTGCTTCGCACATGGGTTTGGTTTTGCTTCAGGGAGTTTAATATATTGACAGAATGAAAAGTCACCCAGGTCCTGTCAGTTTTATTCTGAAGTGTCTCTTATATCTGTTTCTTTCCAAGATTATAGTCACTGCCATGTTTCTGACTATCAATGCTTCTGGCCTGAAATAGCATTTTTTTTTATCTCTCTTTTAAAAAGTCCATCTGCATCCCTGCTTCGCCCATCTTTCAGTAATTTAATTAATCATGCTACTTGTTTTTCCTTAAAACCTTTCAATGTCTCTCGGCTGCCCAGAAGAAAAGTTCAGATCTGCTTCAATCTACCTTCCCAGTTTTGTGAGCTGCCCTTTACTCTACATGTGCATTGTCTACTTGGGTCATCTTAGAAAGTGGACTGCATTTTCCATATTTTACATCTGGATACCCTTGCCAATTTTTCTTAGAATTTGCTGTCATTTTTTGATTAATCAAAGCATGATAAAAGCGCTGAAGTCATAGAGAAAGTTTTTTAAAAAAATTTATTGGTAGAATAAGTTGAGATAGAGATCATTTTAAAAGGATCAAAGAGCATATAGAAATTGGCACCTCTGTAGGATTAATGACAGCCTATCACATTTTCAAGTTTATTCAGTTGAGAGTAAAAACACTATTATGTCAGTTATAAAATATAAAAAATCTAGGAAATTATTTCCTTAGAACTTATTTGTAATTATCAACATAGTCAAAAATTATGCTGATATACCCCTTCTTGGAATTTTGTTGTGCTATGCTCTAAAAACATTTTATAAGTATGAAATTTAAGGGAAAAGGGTCTCTTTTTTAGTCTATGAATACATCTTTCCAACTGGGGACAAATAAATTACATCAAATCTAAGCCCAAAGAAAATAAACTTAAGGGCCATCCTTTGCTATCCACTGAACTTAGATTTGGTTCAGACCAATGTGTGACTTCTTTGGGGTGCCCCAGTGAGACTTTTCAGACAGGTTTCCCAGAGCAGACAGACCATACAGTGTTCACAGCTCTCTGACTATTTACCAAGGATTTCTCCAAGAAATTTGTTAAAGTCCCTTAGAGCCTACTCCATGTTCTTAACTGAGAAGGGAGCCAGAGCACTAGGTAAACTGGAGTC